TACTGTTATCTGATGGTACATGGAGGGTATTATAATCATTGTAATGAAAGAAATTGTATGATTTGTTGAATGTAAAACCTGATGATGATCAGCCCTATATAAATTCCCACATTCAAAATTAAAAAAAAATGCATAAATCATTATTGGGGTCACTGAGGGTTAGGTATAGGTCAGTGGACCCTTGACAGGGTACTCAGTCTTTTCCCTCAGCTACTGTCCTTCACAGGACCCTTGGCTATGAGCGGCCCCGATGGCACATCACCACCCCATGATCAGCTCGACCGAGGGATGGCCTCCACTGAGACTGACATTGCCATCATTGCTGGTGTGATTGTTGCTGTAGCCTTCATCTTGGTCTGCCTCCTGCTAGTCATGCTAAACTACATATACTGGCACAAGGGAACATACCACACCAATAAGGACAAGGGAACAGAGTTCACTGAGAGTACAGATGTGGCTCTACAGGGTGATCCTGCCCTCCAAGATGCCTGTGAAAGTAGTAGAAAGGAGTACTTCATCTGAGGGGCACAAGACCTCACCTGTCTCTGCCCCTGTTCCAACTCCATGAAAGAAGATACACCTCCTACCACCTGCAGCCACCACCACAGGACCTGATAATGGAGCATCTACCATCTCCAAATGTGTGCCTCAAAATGCAAAGGTCCTGAGCAGAGCAGAGAGGAGGTAACAAACCCCTCAAGAGGGACTCAGGAGGGCAGTGGCCATCGTATGGACTTCCTCTGCCCTGACAGAAGTAGCACATATCTGAATGTCATCTTCCTGAACAATTCAGGCTGTCATTGCATATGAGATCTTCCTGAGTGGGTGAGTCAGGGCGCTGGAGGGAGGAATGAAGGGAGTTGTCCATATACTGACTGGAGCCAATGGTCTCAAAGGTCTGTCCTTGACAACAGCAGATGCCAACGCTAAAAGGCACCTTTCTCTCCTGTTACTCAATACATTATTGGAAATAAATTTAAAATGTAATACCTACCCCCACTGCCCCCCCAAAAAAAATTACTGGTGGTGAGACATGGATTCATCACTATGAGCCAGAGAATAAATGGCAGAGTATGGAATGGGAACATTCTCAATCACTGACCAAGAAAAACTTCAAAGGTCAACCATTAAATGGAAAATTGATGTTTACAGTATTCTGGGATTCTCAAGGGACAGTATTAGAACACTATCAGGGCAAAGGTTTAATTATCAACAGTGTCCGTTACAGTGAGATGCTCACTGACTGAAGCCTAAACTTCAGATTAAATGCAGAGAACTGTCCAGTGACATTGTGATCTTGCATGACAATTCACATCCACACACCTCTGCCCAAACTGTTGACATTCTGCAAGAACTGTGTTTTGAGGTGTTATCACACCCTTCCTATAGTCCTGACCTTGCTCTGTTGGACTTTCACTCATTTGGTCCCATGAAAACAGCCCTTAGAGGATGAAGATTCACTGATGATGGAGAAATGAAGACAGTGGTGCATTTGTGGCTCGCAGCTCAGCCTAAAATGTTTTATAATAAGAGAATACAAAAACTTGTTGACAGAGGAAGAAAGTATATTGAAAATCAAGGAGATTACGTCATAAAATGGTGTGTTTATCTTTTCTAAAAGTTGATTAAAAAAACAAAAATCTACTTCAGTTTTTTGCCAAAAATCTAGTTACTAACTACATTTTTTTAAGTGTGCCAAGTTGGTTCCAAATCATAGTGACTCTATGTGCAACAGAAAAACAAAAAACAAAAAACATTGCATGATCTTGCACAATCATTTTAATAATTGTATTTGAGCCCATTGTTGCTGCCACTGTGTCAAGTTATGCCCTTTGAGGTCTTCCTATTTATTGTTGAACATAGACTTTAAGAAGATGATATGTTTTTCCAGTGACTGGTCTCTCTTGACAACATGTCAAAAGAATGTGTGACAAAATCTTGTTATCTTCACTTCTAAGAAGCATTCTGGCTGAAATTCTTTGAAAACAGATTTTTTGCTCTTTTGGCAGTCCTTGGTATTTTCATTATTATTTTGAACACCATAATTCATATGTCCTGATTCTTCTAAGGTCTTCATTTGTCATTTCCCAACTTTCAAGTGTATATGAGGCATATGGAAATATCATTGCTTGGGTAATGTGCATCTGAGTCTTAAAGTTATATCTTTGCTCTTCAATACTTTAAAGAAGTCATTAGCAGTAGATTTATCCAAAGCCATGTGCAGCAGATTTATCCAAAGCCATGTGCAGCAGATTTATCCAAAGCCATGTGCAGCAGATTTATCCAAATCCATGTTATTTGATTTATTGACTGTTTCTTCCATGAGTGCTGATTGTGGATCCGAACATAATGCAGTCTGTGACAACTTTTATGTTTGTTGTTTATCATTATGTTATCTATTAGTCTAGTTTTGAGTATTTTCATTTTCTTTACACTGAGATCCAATCCATATTGAAGCTGTAATTTTTCATCTTCACCACTAAGTCCCCTTTGCTCCTAGCAAGCAAGGCTATGCCAATTACATATTGTTGTTGTTGTTATTAAGTACCCCGTGGAGTCAGTTCCGACTCATAGTGACACTGC